AAATGTTTTATAAAAAATTGATAAGACAAATTTCTGAAGATTCTCAACATAATAATAAAATTTCGGATAATAATAAACTTCCAAGATGGATACGTTGCATAAGTTGTTTAGGGGATATTTCTAGATATCGTTGGACATATTGCTTAGAAGATCAAGAAAAGGATAAACAATTCTGGTTTGAAAATGCTTCACGATGGTATCATTTAGGAATTCAGCTCAAGTCTAATAATGGTGAATAAATTATTCTAATATATTCAGCTATTATAGAGCATTGCATTCACATATATATATATATATATATTTGGTTATTATTAGGAAAACTTTATCATCATTTAGCTATCCTTGCGGGACAGGATGAATTTAAAATGCTTTATTACTATTGCAGAAGGTACGTATATATATTTATTAAATATAATCTATTTTAATCTTTATTAATGTTATGTTTCGGTTTAAAGTCTTATGGTTAATACTCCATATTTGGCCTCTCGTGAACAACTTATTTGGCTATTCGAAACAAATCGACAGCGCTTTTCAACTCTCACTGCAAATCATAATAAGCAGAAGCAAAAAAGTCGTGGTTATTTGCAACGAGAAAATTTACAACCTCAGAGTAAACAATGTGATAGTTTAACTAATCAATCAATTGAGAGCTTGTATATCAGATTGCATGGAATGCTTTTCACAAAGATTGGACTTGAGTTTTTCGAACAAACCCTAGAAATCTTTATGAATAAATTATTATTGAAAAATAATCAAATTCCAAATGATATAAATGGGACAAACTGGTCTGAATTTTACATGCAAATGGCGATTATTAATATCTCAAGTTTATACAATTATGGTAATACCGAGAATTCATCACTCAGTTCAACAATCAAATCATCTCTGGTGGATGATGTGGATTCAAAGCGAACTTTAGATTTAGATCCAACCTTTGCTGAAGAATCTAGACTCGCATTTGGTATTATGTATAAATTCATGTCTAAATATCTTGATACGATATCATTTGAGAGAGGATTTGATGTTTCTGAGGGCTGGCTATTATATTGTGAAATTATGTTACTTTGGATGGTAGCTAATGATGCTTTTAATAGTTTGGATGATGGAACTAATAACAGGATTTGGAGAAAATTTTTGGACAAATCTATTTATCCTGATTTTTGGAAAACATTGACTCGGTTCCTTACAAAAATTGCACATCAAGTATCTCCATTTACTATAAGTGAGATTATAGAATTTTCAACAAACAGTAAAGATTCAAATAATTTTGAACGTCTTCGCTCTCCACCATTAACTGAAGATTGGAAATTACGTGGTGTTTCCTGGCTCCAGTCATTATATGAACCCTATATGTTTGAACATGTATCTAAACCATATTTAGAGTTTGTGGATGATGATATTGAGGTTATCATAAATAATATTCATGATAACCTCGATTTGAATTCAGATCAAGATGCTAAAACTCGCCGGAGAGCAAGGATAATGGAATTAGGTTATCTTTTAACTAAGGTAATTTAATAATTTCCCTAGTCTTGTCTTATTTCTTTATCAAATAAGATATTTACTTTAATACACGTAATCCTTAGAAAATCATTGGTTTAGATTTTGATATTGAAGACATCACTTTTATGTCTTCTTTAGAATTAGATGAAATTTCAGACAAGGAAAATGAATCCATTTCAACATCAAAATTAATAACCGAGGAGGATGAAACTAATCCTGTTATAACGAAATGTATAGATTTTGCCAATAGTGAATCAGATGACGAAGGGATTATGGAATTGAAAGTATGTTTTATATTATATTATATACGCGGTGTTGCGTTTGATCAACCTTCTATTTTATATGTAGTCTCGCCGTCAGGAATTAGAGAGTCTTTTAGCTGCAACTCGTGGAAGTTTTCGCAGCCCTTCGGCACAAAAACTTTCATCAAAGAGTTCCAAGAAAAATACTCCACATACAGCAAAGAAGGAGATACCTTCGCTTTCTAGAATTGTTGCAGGATATACTACAGTTGTAATTGATACAAATTGCCTTGTTGGAGATCTCAACATGGTCAAAAAGATAATCCAAAGTGATAACTGGGTGGTTGTTGTACCTTTGGTTGGTAAGTACATTAATAATTTACCTTAAATTCATGGTGTTTACAATAGTTTTTAATGATTAATTTTTATCGGAATTTAATATATTGAGTTCAATTCCATTTTTTTTTTCATATTTTAAATAGTTATTACAGAATTGGATGGGTTAAAACTCAATCCACCTCCTCTTGGTACGGCAGCATCCGAGGCAATTGCCTATCTTGAACGAGCTTTATCATCATCTAACAGGATGAAAAAACTTAAAGTTCAAACAAGTAAAGGCAATTACGTGTCTGGAATTAACTTTAGTGAAGAATTTGACTTTGGTGATGGTGAAGATAAAAAGAAAAATTTGGATGATCTAATTCTTGGCATTTGTTTATGGCATGCCAAGAATCGTGGGGATATTGGTTTACATAGTAAATCAGAAAAAGAGGACAATAACAATGAAGTCGTTGTATTACTTACAAATGATCGAAACCTTCGAGTTAAAGCTCGTGCAAGAGGTGTTGACGTTGTGAGCTTTCAAGATTTTACTGAATTATTATGAAATTCGATATTATTTATTGGCCCAAATTATATCAATCGAATATTTTAAAATCGATATAGTAAATTTTTCATGCTCCTGTAAATTAAATATATATATATATATTACAGTACCTCTTTTTTTTTTTTTTTTTAATCGTTTTACGGAAATTGTAACAAAGACCTTAATATCAAAGATTAAAAAAAATATATATGTATAATAGAAAAATGTATTTATTTATTTTATAGGGTGTAATATTAATTTTTTTTTTTTTTTTTACTAATAAAAATTTACGATTTATATCAATGTTACTGTTTTTATTTCAAGAATCATTATTGCTGATTCGAATAAGATTGGCTTAATTGTTATTAATAAAATTCTTTAATATAAATTATTATATACAGTAACAATAGTAAATAAAAATTTTTATTAGGGTTATTTGGTTTATATAAAATTTTTAGAAAAAGTACTCTTTTAATGGTGTTAAATCTACTATAATAGTTTAGTAGTTATAAAAATACTATAGTAGTACTGTAGTAAAAATATTTTTAATACAAGATTATATTTGATATACAAAATGCTATACAGCTTTTAAGAAAATACTATAGAAAATATAGCATATATCTATATCAGATATATAGTATATGGGGACCCTCATAGCAAAAAGAGGCTTTGAGCAATGTTAAAAATCTCATGATCTAGTAATCAAAATTAAATAACTTTGCAAAAAAAAATTCTCTAAAATTCCATGTTTATTAAAGTTTTAATTTTTTATTTTAAACATTTGATGATCAGATATAAATATTTCTGTATTTGTAACGGTAATACAATAACAGATATACTAACTACCAAATATACACAATAGAATGTATTCAGATCGTAAACTTTCGCGTCTTCCTATTCATTTATCCATTGAACAAAGACAACTCTCAAAATTAGCTTCCTTACCTCGTAGTCCAATACGAACAACACAAAATTTACTGGTTACTGATGAGAGAATATTAGGAAGACGTTGCAATTGGGAACCAGAATTCACGAAAAGTGTACAAAAGAAAGGTGCACAATGGATAGCACCAAAAAATTGCACGGTGAGTTTTTTTAACATTATTCTGTTCATTTATTTATTAATTTATTTATTTATTTAATATTTTTCCTTTTTTAGGCTCTAGATCTACTAAAAAATACTCATAAGGAAACAAAAGAACCTTTCATGTCAACATCATTGCCTGAACTAGATTTAGCATTAGGCGGAGGTATACCATGCTCGTCCTTGACAGAAATTGTAGGGCCTTCAAATTTCGGCAAGACTCAATTTTGTCTTACGCTATCAATCCTTGCCACATTGCCCGTTAGCATGAATGGTCTCGATGGAGGAACATGTTACATAAGTACTCAAGGAGCTTTCCCCGCGGAAAGGTATTGTAATTGTTCGATATTAGACCATACAAAGTTAATTTCTTGGATTTTATTAAGTTTCAAGCCGGATTATGAAAATCAATTAATTAATTTTTTATGACCTTATATAATACGATTTTATACTAAAGTTTCATTTCGTACGATTTATAGGTTAATTGAAATAGCAAAGCATAGATACCCATATTTATATGGTGATGAAAATCCACAAAGTCAGGATAATCTTAAAAAAATGACCGATTCAGTTCATTTAATGAAAGCCAAATCATCTAAAGAGTTGGCAAATATGTAAACATATTTTTATTTTTATTTTTTATAATTTATGATTTGAAATTATTTATTATTTTCTGTATTATAAAAGTGGAAAAATTCTGGATATTTATTTTATTTCGATAGATTAGAGAACTTTCAAGAATTCATTATCGAAAAAAATATTAGATTATTAATAATCGATTCATTTGGAGCTCTTATAAAAAAAGAATTTATTGATAAAAAAGATTCTTTAGATAAAAGAAGTCGATTATTAGTTAAATTTGCGGCATGGTTAAAGTAGGTAATAATAATATTTTCATTAACGCGCGTATAACTTATTTTATTTTAAATTGAATTATTCATATTTATATTTTAAATAGATTCTTATCAGAATCATTCAATATGCCGACAATTGTAACAAATCAAGTTATTTCGTTAAATTATACTCGTGAGGCATTAACAGATCTTACAAATGGTATATATTACGATATTATATTATAATTATATGCATTTCCCTTTATATATTTTATCGTATTCATTATATTACCAGATTCAAGCATAAAACCTGCGCTAGGAAACACATGGTCACACGCTGTAAACACGAGATTAATGATGGATTATTGTAATATTAATCCCGTTATAATGCTTTTAAATCCTGATATTCCAAGAAATCTCAGGAAATTAAGAGTCGAAAAGTCACCGATCGGCGCAGAAAAAACTCTATACTTTACTATTGAGAGAAACGGGGTCGTGAATTTTGACATGAAAAATATAATGTACAAGACGAGAAATTGTAATCAGGAACGGGATTCAAATATAAAAAGATTGAGGATTGATGAAAATGAGTAAAAATAAAAAAGGGTATAAAGAATGATACTGTAAAATATTGAATTTGCGATGGTTCATATAGTAATATGGTCATTTGTAAGAATATGAATAGGTACTTATTCTAAATTGTTGTAAATATTGAAAAAATGAATATTTAAAAAAGCTTTACATAACTTGTAATGGTGATAGATTTCTCTAATTCCCGATTGGTGTGATGTTTTCGAATAAAGTGATATAAGATTTTCTCCAATTTTGTACGACATAATTCAAGATTTAGACTTATATAATAAAGTGATAATCGATAAATAAAAATATTTTTATTCGCTACATTTGATCTGTCAGCTTGTGAATGGGTCTCTCAGGACCAAAAGTAAAGCAGCGGATACCAGCTGACCCTAGGAACCAAACATGGAGTAATGGTTAGTTTTCTCCCCTTCATTAAATTTTTAGTACTTTTCTGTCTTTAATTTTATTCATAATGTTTCTCGCTTAAATTATATCCGAATTTCGAAAAAAAAAATTAATGAAAACATTAGATAAAACAAAATATGGATATAAAATGTTATCAAAGATGGGTTGGTCGCCTGGTAAAGGGCTTGGAATGAATGAGGATGGGTCACAGGAATGCATCAAACTTTCTCATAAACTAGATAACCTTGGGATTGGTGTCTCCAAAAAAACTATTGATAATTGGTTAGATAATTCGAATGCATTTGATAAATTATTAAAAGGACTAAATCAACAAGACCAAGCTAATGTCACCGAAGAAGTTGCGCAAAATCATAGTAATGATCTAGAATTAGGTCATGACTTGGACGTTATTAAAGCTTCAAAATCTAAGAAAAAAAAAGTTAAAAAAGATAAATTAATGCTTAAAAATAAGAAGAAAGACAAATTGGATTTTTCCAAGTCTAATACCATAAATAAGTCGAATGTAAATACTATTAGTTCTTCTATACGTCTCGCGTAAGTCTATATTTCAAGTATTGCATGGTTCATTAATTTTTTCCTCGACATTAATCGTAATTATTCTATTTCTTAAAAAAATACCATTAAAAGTCATCGCGCAAAATATCTTGAAAGTAAAAAGGCTGCTACGAAAGATTCTGAACGATTGAAAGAAATTTTTGGTATTAAAGCTAAATCCAATGTTGAATCCATTTCAGATTTTAAAAATAATTATAAAATTAGTCAAGATGATTTTGAAAATGTTATAAACAGTCAAAATAATTCTAATAAAAACGAAAAAGATTATTTCTCGGATATTAATGGTGTTCAAACAATAGTTAATAAATTAAGCACACAAGATTACTTTTCATTAAAAGCAAAAAAAATGAATTTGACAGAAAGTGGTATTTTTTATTTTATTTTTTTTGATGCATTGAATATTTCCTTTTAGTATTACTATTAAACCTTATTTGCATTATTAGCATCACACTTTGAAGATAAAAGTGACGAACGGCCTTGCTTTAACTTGAGCGAATTAACTAATGAAGATTCTATAGGTCCTGAACTCGTCACTGAGGGAAACGAAGAACGAAACTCTGATTATGAGCTTCACAATAATTTCAAACCAACAGCAAATGCTCTCGAAACTAGAGGGAAGAGGAAAGGTAAAAAGTGTACGGCATCACATAAATTAAAGAAAAAAAAAAAGATTAAGACAAAAGTAGATAATTTATAGACAAATGACAAATAAAAATCTTTTACAATTGAATTTGATTTGGGTTACTTTCTTTTTTTTTCGAAATTTATAATGAGAATGAATTTATAAGTCTATTAGATAGTTTGCGCATTTATTTTAGGTACTAGACAGAGTCGGATAAGTCAAAATTAAAAATAACGTCGAAATGGCACATTTCGATGCAATTCAACCTGGCTACCAAAGAAATGGTTTCTAACCACAATTTTCCCGGATCAGTGTCACTAATTTATTTGATACTTGGCAATATATGATAAACGGATTTACCGCTATTATATAATGACTATATGTGCCGTTCCAATTTTAGATATGATAGCACTTTATTAATATTGGTATATCCGGCGTAGAAAAAAAGTTGATATTTGTTCTGAAAGTTCGTTATATATAGGGAGAATTGATTGTGTATTCCTTGTTGTCTGAAATATGCTTGTTTATAAAACTCTTAGGGTTTGGGATTTTTTAATTTAAGACAATTTCATTATGTTTGGGACGATTAATTAAAAAAGTCTGGTCTCGAACTAGTTAAGAACTAGTTCACGACCCCCGTCTGAGGCCGGTCTAACTTTACACGATGCTTGTAATTTTGTTAATGACTCAAAAATGACACTCGATTTTATCTGAATTAGTTGAACTAGTTTTGGACCGGCTCTGAACTGTCCTTAAAAAGCCCGGGTCCCAACGTAAGATTTTAAAAAATTCGTCTCAGATCCGTGTACTAATCCATTTATAAATTGTTTTTGTGAACATAATATATTTGATTGCATTGTTTGCCTTCCATTTTCATAGAAGAAATTATCAATAAAAATGCTCCTAAAAGAAATTTTGGTGAATTCTATACTATAAAGAGTTGGACCGATGCTCTTCTGGGAAATTCAATTTCATAAAATTAAATATAAAATTTGATTTAATTTAATAATTTTGGCATAATTAAATTAATTTGTTACTGTTGAAAAACCAATTTAATCAATTTCAACATCAATCAAGTTCACCAATTTCAACAAAACTTTTTATTAAAGAAGGGTAATAATATTATTCACATTTACATGGGAGACATCTATAAAAAGAAAAACATTAAAACTATTGATATGTCCAAAAAAAATCGATGTCATACAAACCCTGTGAAAATTTAATAATTTAGCAAAGCCATGTAGGTATTTAATCTAGCAAAGCCTAGTTTTTTTCAAAAAATAATAATAATAATAATTGGATTGTTGAACACAGGTTTAATTCAAGTTGAATGATTGTTAAGCCTCAAATTCTTCAACTTTTTTCTCGTAGACTTAAAGCTCTCAAACGCTCTCTCCATTTTCGTTAATTATAAGGTTGAAATTTATTTTTATTTTTTTTTTTTAAAAAAAAAAAAATCAAAATGGTGGAATTTTGGTGTTGGTGGTAAGTGTTTTTACTATGATTTTCCAAAATTTCTATTTCCGTATAAATTACATATTGCATTTATATATTATTTATCAAAATTGACTAGTATCCCCCGTATTTCTCCTCGCTTTGGTACTATTATTCTTGCGGCAGTCAGTTTTGTGTGTATTTTTATTTATTAATTTTCTTTAAAAAAAAAAAAAATTTGATATGTGAATTAATAATAAATAATTTTTGATCTTATATAGTTTGTTTCTTCATGGTTTGCTGTAGTTTACCTAGCAAAACCAGGGGGTATTTAATTTACGTCGAATAATATTTTTTAATTTTATTATACATATCGTGTAATATTTTTATTATTGTATTTTTTACTAGATTATGTACCTGATATGTCAAGAGGACTTACATTGGTATTTGGTATAGCATTCATTATTATGGCATTGGTCTCCTTATTTGGAATAATTGGTTCACTTTTTGTTAGCATTCATTTTTTTCTGTATCAACATATATATATCTTTTTAATATTTGCTAAATTATTTTTATTTAATTAGGAAATTCAAACTGCTATTCGTGTCTTTTCTAATATGCTATGGGGTTTTGTCATTGTTAATACAATTATTGCTATCATTGTTATTGTTAATATAGTTCAAAATAGACAATATGAAGTTGATAATTGTGTTAAATATTTACAAAAACAACCGGGTTATAATAGTACAAGTACTTCACTAGATAATGATTCAGCATATTGTACACATTATGAGATAGTGATTATTATAAGAAATATTGTTACAGCAATATTATTAATACTGTTTAGTGTAAGTGTATATGTATATATTTCAAATATTTTCATAATTTTGATTTAATTCTATTATTTTTTTTCAGATACTTTTCGCTAGAGTTTCATCTGTTTATGCTCAAAAACTTGAAACTCGTAGTAGATCTAAACGTCTACCAGCGACTAGTCTTACATCAGTTGCGAGTGTTTCAACTACTGATTTTAATCCAACTGGTTACTAATAAGTGGATTTTCTCTTAATATGGAATCGAATTATTTAATGTAGAAATGATTTAAACCACGTGATATCTATTTTTTTTTTATTATAATGTTTTTATAGACAAGGCATAAGAAAGAACATTTTACAACAATAGTTTGTGGTCATTATTTTTCATCACATATATACACTATTTTTTTTTTTAAAAAAAAATAATAATTTATTATAGTTGCCGTATGGCATTTGAATAAGATTCTACTCTGGGATATTAGTCGGTACCGCAGCAATTGTCAGTCGACTTTGTGCAATTTTTGAAAAAAACTGGCATTTAGGCCAATAAGTTGTAAAAAGTTATTTTTTTACAACTATTTTCGTATTAGTTTTTATTGGAACATTAGTAGGGGTGTTAAAATGAACTCAGAGGGGGGGTCCCAAAATTCCTGGTCGGAAGACATCGGAATCCTGGTCGATTGAGCCAGAATTAACCAATTTTGCCTAAAAATCACTCAAAATTTTATTAATGAAGTTATAGTATACTCACTAAGTAAAAGTGTTCGCCTGATAATTTTGTTTTAACCTCTTGCTAAATAGTATAGCTAATGCATAGCTAGCCAAACATGACCCGATCCGGAATTTTGGGATTGCCCTGTATTATTCGTTAAATACTCATAGTGAAGGGTTCTCAATTCCAGGTCGGAAGACAACCTAATTTTGCCTAAAATCGCTAAAAATTTTACTAATGAAATTATAACCCCATTCACTGAATACTATCAACCTTACTAAATAGTATAGCATAATGTTTGCTAGCCGAATATGACTCAACTCAAAATTGACGAATTGTACAAGACAATCTTCAAATTCCGGAAATCGATCCTAAGCCATGTCAAATTGTAGGGTTGTTGCCGTAATGGGAGTAGCATACTCCGGAGTGAACCAAACCCAAGTGGAATGGATTGAGGTAGAGGCCTGAACGGGCCTGATAAAATTATTTTTTTCTGACCCGCATTTACTATGTTCTTAGCATTTCTGGCCACGTCAATTTTACTATGATTAAATTTCGGCCTGGCCCGTGCAGGCATCTAGGTTGAGAACTAGTTCAACCCAATCCATTAACAACCCTACCAACAGTATTGAACTGATATGGAAAGAGAGTCAGTTTATGTTCTCGGTATATATGAGTGCCGTCAAGGGAAAACCTGTCATCGGGCTTTCAATTATATTTTGTACCGGACTCAGTCACTAATAAATCAAATAGATTGAGTCCGGCACAAAATATAACGGAAAGCCCGAGAGCAGGTTTTTCCTTGACGGCACTCATATACAGTAATATGTAACTTGATATTTATAATACTGTATTACATATACTGTCTCCAACACTGATTTCCATTAAGCAAATTTCACGTGATCGGTACGAAATACTAACTAGGTATTTTTTTATAATTTTTTTTTGGATATGAGATGCGCCTTTCCATTTCGATTGTGCATCATCACTACGCGGCGGAAGACAGGTGAAAAGTAAATAGCCTTCGAATCTTTGAAGGTGATAATATGCAATTTGCAGTTACCATAAAAAGAGGGTGCTTTAGGCAGCGTTGTCATGGGACGCGAACACGGACAACAGACAGGACGTCCGCGGACATGTCACGGACATAGTGGGGACATAAATGAAAAGTGGCGAAACAATGTCCATGTACAATGCTATCCTGCGGACATGGGACACGGGACACGGGACATTGTCTCGGACTGTCCGTGTACAAAACTGCTTTTAGGCATCTCCCGCGGGAGGCATATTTACCGCGAAATTAGCCAATCAAAATTATTTTACGTGATGGTCGACAACAAACTAGCCAATAGGAAATGACAAATTTGTGTAACGCAGTACGGTCAGAAAAATTCTAGATGTACCTCGCGCGAGGTCAAACTAGCATATATTCACAACCTCACGCAAATTTACAGTGCGCGATTTTATGTGACATAATTAATATTATTTAATTAATTAAAAAACTATCAAATTGATAGCTCATTGATTATGAATTAAAATTAATAATTTTCTTCACGCAAGGTTGAAATCATCTTGCACAAGGTGCATGAAATTGCGGGTGTTAGAATTTGTTATCTTGCGCGAGGTACATCTCTGGTTTTGACAAATCCTTTAAAAACACACGTAAAAAACCTCCTTTCGTGCTCTAATTAAAAGCTTTACTTGAGAAATTTTACTATGTACCTGCTAAAATACTAGCCCTAACCCAGGGTTGGCAATGGAGCCAATGGACTCAATAGTTACGCGAATAAAGTTCAAAAAACTAGTATCCAATGCTCCATTGGCTCCATTCGCAGCTCCATTGGGTCCCATTGCCAACCCTGCCCTAGCCCTAACCCCAACCCCAACAAAATAAACTTTAAAAATTTATCACTTGCGGAAATGCCTATAATTTCCCTAAAAAAAAAATTACATTTTGCACATTACTCGATAGGGTCCTATTTTTTATACCCCCCAAATTTATTAACCATACCCCCTTATGAAATTGCAATTTTTTGCAACTTTGAATG